GCGGCTAATACGACCGACGGATAGTAACGTCATAATATATAATCATTATACTCATAAAATAAAAGAAAACTTGTATATTTTTTAAAAAAATTTTTAAAAATTATTTCAAATAAATACTTACTTTTTATGTAACAGTCCAACCTTCATTATTATTAGCATTTTTTAAATGTGAAATTGTTTCATATTTAGAAAACTTCCAACAAAGTATTTATCACTTTTAAAAATGAAATTAATAATACCAAAATAATGTAATGAAACATTCAAATAGCAAGAGACAAAATTGACTCAAACAATTTCCATATATTAGCTCCCTTGTCTACTACTCTAATCAAGTAGGAGAGTTTCACTTGTGCATGCATACGTATATACTTACATTAGTGTTGGTCATTTATAACCATGAAGCTGATTTTTACGTCTTTCTTGGCAAATATCTTTGGAAAATGCCCCATTACCAGCATTTTACATGACAGGATTGAGAAGAACAGAGATTTTTCTACAAGTTCATCATAATTTATCTGCTCAGGTTTCTTATTGTGAGTTGGGAAATGCCTGTAAAGCTGATATTTTGATGCTCTGCCATATAAGCTCGTATCAAAGGTACAACTTTGAGCTGAAATATCTCGAGATTTTGCTCCATTTGGGGTATAAACAAGGACACCGTTCAATTCAGTAGATCAAAATCTATTGAATGAAACAAATTTCATTCCGTAGGTTTTCACAAGGGAGCTAGCTTAAATAGATTAGTAATGCATGCATAGTTTTTCACCTATTAAAAACTGTTTTTAAGGTAAACAAGGTATGATGCTTTTATTTTCTGCATAATAAAGTTGATTTTTATACAGGAAATATGAAAATTTGTATTTATGGTTTAGATTCTCGCATACTTTCCCTCTGAAAAAAGCTGTTACTGCATTTGTATGCATTCTAATGAGACTTACGGCTTTTTAACGTTTGATCGTGTAATTGTGCTCATTGACTTTACCTAGTAAAAAAAACGTAAGTGCAGTTACGGCTTTTTTTCAAAGAAAAGTGTGTGAGTGAAAAGCCATAAGTGCAGTATCTGTTCCCCCTTTCGGGAAATCGTTTCTTCTTCGCGAGCAGTAATTAGATCATGCCCTAATTATCCTAGAAACAGTTTTTTCGCTGTTGAGAAATTCGATTTTCATCATGTTTTTAACATAAATAGTTTTTGTCAATTTTCTCAATTTGACACTGGCTGCACTTACGCTTCTTTCCGTGGCACGGCAGCAGATACGACACTAAACGCCCAAGCCTTTCTAACATTGATAGAATTAGCTTACTCAAAAACATGATTAAAACATCTATAATGACGTCGCCAATTGATATCTTACTTTAAGGAATATGTGGGAAACCGCGATACAAATTTACAAGTTACCTGTATTTAAACACTAAGAAAAGCACCAATTTTCGCGCACGTTTTAAACAAGAATTACTAAAATGACTCGACTTGGGATTTGTACGACGAAGGAAACGATGGTATCAGATAAAATAAAAAAGATGCTGTTTGTGAGTCACAACGAAGATATATTTGTGACTCAAAGGAGGAAGCTCTGAAGAGAAAACCTCCTGGAAGAACGAAGCAACCGATACAAGAGACGTGTAAACAAGACTCTGTGTGTGTGTGTGTGTGTGTGTGTGTGTGTGTGTAAAGTATGTGTGAAGGATGTGTGAAGTGCACGACTGCACGTCCGCACTATTATCGCTCTCGATCACCGTGATACGGTTCCGCTGACGCGGATTTTCGCCGTGTTCGCTCGCAGCATGTCGATACAAAAAGACTAGACACCGATAATAACGAATCAAGGATCTGAACGCGTTAAAATAAACACGTAAAACCCGTATGCAAACTATGCAAAGACTTACTTCGCACGATGAAACGAAGAAAATGCGATAAAACTAGTAAGTACTCGAAATCGCAGTGAAAACTGTAGCTCTATACAAACTGTAGCCTCGGAATGGCCGCACCCCCACCGCCTCTTTTAAATTTTTCGCATCTCCGCCGTCGGTGGCGCCAACCCCTCTCCCCTTGATTTACCTTGCGTCTCTTGGATGACGTCCACCAACAAGTGTTGTTTTACCAAGTGTATCACGCACATAGTCTATGACTTAAAAACTGAAGTGCCGCACAACGGCAGCGTCAGTGTATGGGGTATGGGTAATTCTTTTACAAACCGTACGAATTTCGTCAAAAATTGACCAATCCCTCTTCGATTTGCCTGAAACTTTTTTTCAGGTTCTACATCGAAAAAAAAGAGATACGTCTGAGTGTCTGAGGGTTTTCCCATTTTTTTTTTTTTTTTTNAACATTTTTTTACCGCCTATTTACGATTTTATAAGTTGTAACAAATTCCGTAATAGTGGTTGGAGACTCATTTTAAACAATGTATAGCTCCGAATCCTTAAGAGCTACAAAATTTCCACCAATGGCACTTTTGTAGCTAAAGAATTGAACTCCAAGAAAAAATGAAAAAAGAATATTATCAACAAACTAATTTTTTTATTGACAATTTACATGTTTAAATCGATTTTTAACAATGAAACCGACCTCTTAGCTCATTCAAAGTATAACCATCATGTTCTACGTCAAATTTTACATCGAAAATGCTTTTGAAATCGATGGAGAAATAATTTTTTCTATTGAAGAAAAATAAAATAAATAAACGCGATACATCTCATCGGTGAGCTGGTTACGATGACATCTCATTTTAGTCGCCTCATACCGTTTTTCTCTTCATTCAATCATCTATTATTCATAATTGATTGAGGCTTCATAATCTATTAAGAAAAAGCGGATATATAAAAAGAATATTTCACTTAATGAAATTATTTATTGAAGAACAATTATAATGTACATTTTTTTTATTTACAGATTTTTACAATAGTTTTTTTTTATGCAGTGAAAATTGCTTTGCCTCTAATTCTTATTCAGTAATTGGAATCATTTAATGTTATTTCGATGTGCCTTTAATCATGATCGATTTCTGGAAACGTACTGATATGCATTTTTCTTCTCGTTCGTAGTCCTCATTTGTTGTATAACAGCACGTAATATTTGTTAGAGCTTTTGTTGCCCACTCAAACAATTCTTTGGGTGTGCGAATCAGATTATCAATTCTTTGAAGACTAGCTCTCGATGCAAGTCTTTTCAAAGTTCCCCCAATTGGGATGTTGGAAAAAAATTCCGCTCAGGTGTCATTTGAAAATCATTTTAATGATGCGTAAGGTTTATAAAATTCTTTTTTTTTTATATACTGTCCGCTTGCTCCGTCAGATCCATTAATTATTTTAGTGATGCCTTTTAACTAGCTATTTATGAACTGAACGAGTTTTCTTTTAAATAAATGCACGGCAATAGTATCGTGACGTAAACATTCAGAAATTACAACGAAACTCTTGATTTTTAACTTATTCTTATTGTTGTAATAAATGGAAAAAGTATGCACCGTCGCTTGATCATTTTTCCAATGTATTCCTTGCACTGAATTTTGTATTACAAAAGCGTAATTCTCGCTGAAATCGCAAATAACAATACATTCATTCTGCAACAAATTATTCTTCTTATCATTAAAAAACTCTTTTTGTTTGCCTACTAAAAATGAATGAGGCAGTAACTTTTTCAAACCGCAACTAAGTGACTGCAAAAATTCCTCAACCGTGGATATTAAGGTTTTCAAAGAATTTCTGTCGATTGTAACCTGTTGTTTGTATTCAAGCTGTTCAATAAATTTTTCTTCAAAATTGCTTTCCAATTGATCTATAATATTCATAACACCAGGGCACTAACCGCATTCTCCAACATAAGTAGCAATCATTTGTTTTGGCTTTACATATCATGCGTTCTAAGCAATCTGAATAATTCTTTATTGGTCGTTGCGATTTAGCGGGGAGATTCCGATTTCTGTGGCGCCGTGATCTGAGTGTGGTTTCTTGTATATTTTGATGCCAGGAATACAGGAAAAATAATTTAAAAATTCCTTCTTATACCTCCTTTTAGAGATATTGAACTCGAAAGTCGAAAAAATCGTATTTTGTAAAGCGATGGTAAAATTAACAGAAATTTTATCATTCTTAAATCAATAAATAATATCAATTTATCAAGTGTTTTAAAGATTTTGAATTTTGAATAGCCCTTACTTAAAAAGCGTATCAGATACCAAGCTGATGAGAATAGATAATACACTTTGATCTGTGTCAGTGTGCCGGGAAGCGATGGTAAAATTAACAGAAGTTTCATAATTTTTAAATCAATAAATAATATCAATTTATCAAGTGTTTATATATTAAAATCAAATATATTTTAAATGTGTTTTTCGAAAATCGAGATGCTACATTTCGAAAAAAAAGCAAATAGAATGGTTTTCATTATTATTTTGATATTTATTACTATCAAATAAGCAAGAAATAACCCTAATATCACATGTATACATAATACGATTTTTTCGACTTTCGAGTTCGATATCTCGAAAAGGAGATAAGAAGGAATTTTTCAATTATTTTTCCTGTATTCCTGGCATCAAAATATACAAGAAACCAAACTCAGATCACGGCGCCATAGAAATCGAAATCGTGCCAAGCTGATTGTTCACATTATCTTTTAATAGTACTTGCTCAACCGTACAGAAATTACATTAACTGTAATGAAAATTTTTTCGAGACTTGGCATTGTGGAAGTTGTCCGCTATCCAGCCAGTGTTGCAAAAAATTGCCAACTCGAGCGCTGGCTGTCTTCACACTCCCAGCAAAAAAAATTTGCATCGAGAGTTGAGAGGAGTGCTCGTTCGGGCTGGGTCGGGCGCGCTCGGCATTAGTGCGGCGTCCCGATCAGTGTAATCGGGGTTCGTGCTTGGCGCGCCGCGCAAGCAGACAGTTTTTGCACGCAGAGCCATCCAGTGTCAGTCAGTTGTTCACAAAACCTAGCTTTCAGATCAGTACAGCTCTGACTGTAGAGTCGTTGTGGCAGTAGACAAGTGTGAGGTCGCTTCATTTATACATTGGGAAAGAGCCTTTAAGCATAAAATCTCTTTACTAATTATTCGCTTATTATCTTTCCATCAATTATACCAATTTTTTCAGCCAACATCGCCTCTCGTGATAGTGTGTTAGCTGGGCATGAAAATTATATTTCTCGTGTGTGATCGTTTTTAGTCAAGATTACAATAGTTCTAAAGCTTTGCTGTGGTGTCGTTGGTACTGCTATTGTTGTTGCCATTTTTTGTTATTGCTGTCCTAAGAAACTTTTGATTTCTTAATATTAAATTTAGTGAGTGTTTTATGAAAGGTAATTCACGTACATACAACCTCTCATCTGTAAAGTGTTAAATTTCGTGTAGAGAAGGAAGAAATCGTTAGTGCGAGAGTGCAAAACAACCTGCAAGCGTTACGTGTGAGCTGATTTTTATTTGTTGCTTTGCTCCACCAGTTAATTTGAGTGGCTGACTACCCATACAATTATATTACACCTGAAGTTAGACTAGCATAGATCCTCTAACTCAAGAAGTTGGCGTTTTTTCAAAAGAGGACCATGACTGCTATGGTGATGCATGGACGCGGACCATTACTAGTGCTAGCTTTCTTGGCCTTCGCATCGATTCAAGGTTAGTGCATCGGCTGTTTGTTTGCTCGGTTTGTTCGTTTACCCTTTAAGATCTGGTCAGTATACTTATATAAGTATATGTACTCAGAAGTTTTTTTTAGATTCGTGGTATTACAGATGGGATAAGTTACGGGTAAGGTCCCAGTAGTGGACAACCGAATATTGAGACTAAATCAAATACAGATAATTTACAATAAATCAGATGTCTATAGAAAATTTTATTTTCTACAATTACAAAGTCTATTGTGGGGCCACAAAAAATTAGAATTACTAAAACATACATATATGTCAGAACCATATTCTGTTTGATTTTGCCATAAATAGGTAGTTTTGTGGGAAAAAGTATATTGCTTCAACTACTTAAAAAGTTAACTAACGCTATAATGTTTACTTCTTGTAAGAAATTTTGAAATTCCTTTGAAATCATTTACCTGCATCAATGTAGGTACAGATTTTTGAAAATTTTTGTAATCAAAATAGAAACTTAACAAAATATTTTATCTTTTAACTGTATCTCCTACATTCTGACTTGTAAATCATAGTCACCAACTTGGTGTTAATGGTTTTTGAAGTCACTTTTGATTGAATCGCTTTAAGATAAAATAAAAATTTGTTAAGACTTCTTTAAATAAACAAATGAGATGTATTTATTATTAAAATTGGTGACCAAATTATTTTCTTATTGATGAAATGTATGTATTCTTTATACATTTTTACAGCAAATAATTTAGTACAGTAATTATTAATATAGTGTAAATCATTTTTTTTTTATTGCTTGTAACTTAATATGAGCCATATTTAAAAAACAAATACAATAACTAGTAAAAATTAGTGTACAAATACGAGTTATTTTTAGTAAAATAATTTGAAAAATTCATTTAACTATCATCTACTCAAGGAAATTGATTATACCGCGTGTATGCATGTATGAAAATTACTGAAGTTGGGTAAAACCTTATTTGTGATGTATGAATCTGAAATTTTTCCAGACATAATATTATTTAAAAGTAAGATTCATAAGTTCTTAAGCTTATCAATAAAATTCATTCATTCATTTGAGGGTATACTTAAATGCGGAAAAGCGAATATATAAACAGTAACAAGTAGTGACTGTAAGCTTTTTGGGCAAGCATTGCAAAAGTTTTAGAAAATACGAAGAAATTATACTATATAGCATTTATAATATGTAGCAATTGTCTTCCGTGAGCAATCCAGTTTCTGTAACTACTTCAAAGTTTAAAAAAAAAACTATGGACATTGCAACTGCTATATAAAATCTACAAATTTGTTTGATAATGGTAAAGAAGATAAATAACAATTTGCAAACCGTCAACTATCTCAATATTATAATGTAGGCATCAGTCGTGTGTTAAACTCACAAAAATGAATATGCTTGTGCAATGGTCTTGTACAATTTAAAAATTTAGTTACAAGTATGGGAGAGTGAAGCAGGTGTGGCATCTTAACTTTGATTTTTAATTTTATCTAATTAAAAGGGTGATACTAACTAATAAAAATTGCAGTAGATAGGTAATCTACTAAAAAACAAGTTATAGAAAAAAATTTTTAGGAACTAAGGAGTTATACTAACAAATTAATTAACACGTTAAAGACTTGGAATGCAATGCGTGCATTACTGCCGGGTAGTCCGTATAAGGCTGTGTCAGTGTTAGTCTATAGTGATTCAGGAATATGTTTTCCGCCTTCTAACCTCAAAATAGCACCTTCGCCGCTTGATTTTGAGTTCTTAGGCGGAAAAATATTATACGAAACTCGTTCGAAAAGGCTTCTTTACGAATTTTGTTACGGCCCTCGCCTTCGGCTCGTGCCGTAAACCTCTCGGTTCGTAAATCGAAGCCTTTGTAAACTCGTACGTAATGTACTATTTCTCCCTCTCCTAGCCGAAAGTACGTTCCTCCTGGTCGGTCTGCTTAGCAAGAAAGAGTCTCTTTTGTTTACAGTCAAGACACGACTTTTTTCGTTTCGAGCGGAGAGCAATTAACTTAAGTTTAGTGTCGCAGCAGTATTTTATAGAGTTGTGTGTTTACGAATTACGAGATAGTTGAGGATATCGTACAGTGAAAAAATCAAAAAAAGTAACAAAAAAATACAACGGCGATCCTCCGTAATTAATCAATAGTAAACCCTTATTTACGTTAAATAATAAAAAAAATAAAAACTTATTTTCGTAGTTTAATAAAATTTAGATGGTTGTATTTTATTTTCTTTGTAATTTTGTGTCTATTCCTATGACTTCATTTTTTATTTTGTTAACTTGTGCATATGCTTTTTGACGCCCGCTCCCGATCTGCAAGACCTTGCCTTCGGCTCGGCCGTCGCAGGGTCGGCTAGCGTCAACACACACATGCACGGCAGCACAGCAGACAAGCATAACCAAGCAACGAGCTGTCAGCTCGTAGGCTCACACTGGTTGCGCATACATCCTTAATACCTATACATATCAACATATGCTGTATGTACAGGTATTAATAATTAAAAACGTACTTTCGGCTAGGGGAGGGAGAAAAGTTCTATACGATACTCGGCTGGACAGTTTGAGTCGATGGCATGCGACTTATGACGGCCTCGGCTTCGCCTTGGCCGTCATAACCTCGCAGCCATAAACTCCAACTTTCCGGCCTAGCTTCGTAATCTACTATTAATGAGTAAAAGGCTAATTATTTCGAAGTCACATGATAATCAGTAATTTTAAGAACGGTATGCTTCTCGTGATTAAGACTCCCAATTATGATCAGAAATAATGTTTATTATACTGAATTATTATTATTATTATTATTATAATTATTATTATTATCATTTTTACGTTAACATAAATAAATTAAACTAAGCATGATCAAGTATCAACAATTATTTTTATTAATTTTTTTAATACCTAAACTTGAAATTTAAATGTATAACAACAACTGTAACTGCAAAATTCTCTTAAACAAAATTATTTAACATTTCCAATTTGCTGTTAATTAATTCGCGTGGATTAAATGTTACAATTTAGAGTAACCGATCAGTGTTCTTATTTGTTATGCTACTTTCCTTAAAAAAAATATTACCTCTGAAGGATGCTTATGCGTTTGCCGCCGTATTAACTGAAAAGTAGATGTTGAAACTAAATTTAACAATAGAACTAAGAAAAATAATTATTTTTGTGCTACACTGCTGCTCTCTTTGGTAAAAATGAGGAATATCCACTTAAAACTTAAGTGTTGTAAGATGTTTGTTTTATCCTGAAGCCAAAATGGTGTCACAAATCATACATGAGGTGATGAATCTTTCTCACTCTACTAAGTTTATGATTTAACATCGCTATATTTATCTGGATTTGCACATTATTACCTTATTTTTTGTTCTTGTCATCTTAGCGTCGGTGGAATTAATGAATTTAGTTTTCCACAACAGTCAACCTATTCATGTTGTAAAATTTAATATTAAGTCACATATTAACCATTAGATTTTTGATAATAATTTTCCAGATAAATTTTTTCTTGAATGCAGCGCACTTATAGCACACGATGATCTCAAAGCCTTCTCGAGCAGTGGAGGAAAAGCAGAAAAGAAGAAATAAAATAAGTAAGAGGCGGAGAAGAACTAAGAACAGGAAAAGAAAGAAGAGGGATTAAAAAAAATAAGAGGAAGAAGAAAGAAAAGAGAATAACGGAGTATGGAGAATAAGGCCTTTCTCGTCTACTATCTCAAGTAAGCTAAGAAAGAACCTGTTTAACCGGTTCGGTTACCTCCGTCTTATTTCTGTAGGAACGGGTCACCGATCGACGTGGTTGGCCTTCTCTCAGGATCCGAAAGGCGTGCATGGTACTATCGTGATGGTTTGATAGCACACTTCTATGTATCGGCTGCCTGCGTATCAAGAAACTAGCGGCTTCACCCGAGATTCTATGTAAAGCACCTTAGTGTGTTGACACGTAATGTGAATTATTTTCAGTTTAATTTTTTGTTTTAAATTCATGCAGTTTTAGTCTAATAATAATCTCTAATGAATTAAAAAAAAATAAATATCATAGTTAAAAGTAAAATGCATTCCTTAACCCCTAAAATAGTTTTGGGCTCTGTAAAAAGCTGTAAAGATTCAAAGCTGATGAAAAAATATAATTAAAAAGTTTTTTTTTTCCAAACACAAAACTTTACCATCCGAGCGACAAAGTTCTGGAGCCTCATATTTCTATTTTTTAGCGCCACAATAAGTATAAGTATACATGATTCAACCTATTTGACTAGCTAGAAGATTTGAGTTATCAATGTCTGGGTTCAAATGCAAAGCTGATCTATTACTTACTGATTTTTTTATCTGTTGATTTTAACGCTACTGTTTTCATCGCGATATTATTCTGAGTCAGTTTCTTGACGCCTAAAATTGTATTCATTTGAAGCATTTCAAGTTTTTCTTCCAATTCGCTCTTTATTGCAACTTTAGGCATTGTTAAAAACCCTTGTAAGCCTTGTAACTATTTTTTGTTAACTTTTTTAAGTTGTCATATACTCATTGCCAAAGTAGTACATCTCAGTCAAAAATTATTAGCTATTACTTTAACTATAAATTATAGCTGTATTTACAGCTATAGTCAGCTACAATAATAGCTATAATTGACTACAAAGTAGCTATAATCATGTACAAATAACAACTATAAAAAGTAGCTGTTTACAGCTATAAATTTCTAGCGAATTTTAATTAACAGAATTTATTCAATAATTTTTATTTTTTTAAGGTATATCAGCCACGTAAGGTGATATTATCTGTATAGTAACACTAAAAGTGGGGGGTCCAAGTATTGTTAAACAATAAATGATGAAACCCAAAATTGTTCCTGTTAAAATTTTTTTTCGTTTATTGTTTAAAAATACTTGAACCCCCCCACTTTTAGTGTTATTATACGGATAATATAACCTTGTTTGACTGATATACCTTAAAAAAATAAAAATTATTGAATAAATTCTGTTAATTAAAATTCGCTAGAAATTTATAGCTGTAAA